ACAGAAATTCTGAGAATCTATCACTATAACTTTTGTTCTTCTAATCCTTGCACATAATCTGTAAACTGTGTTTGCAAGTGTTCAAGGCCAGGTTGGATGGGGCTTGAAGCAACCTGATCTAGTGGAAGGTGTCCCTGCCTATGGCAGGCGGTTGGAACTGAGTAAGCTTTAAAGGTCCCTTCCAACCATTCTGTGATTCTATAAACTGTTTTTAAAGCAGCTGACTGCATAAAAACATCAGTGAAGATAGTAAGTAGCACAGAATTCTTCTACTAGATATCTAAAATGCAAGATTTATTTGTAGAGGCTGAAAAAAGGAAGCATTCATTAACTTTCTATATACCCAAGACATTTTACTTAAGTCCTTCAGCAGGATTGAAACAAAGTCATTTCCAACAACAGAAAAGAGCACATGAAGATAAGAAGAAAAAAGGAAAACTTAGCAGACCTATGCAAAAAAATGAGCGTGTCTGCACACAAATGTGTGTGTAACACAGCCGCATCCAGTTACTTTCTACTTGCTCCACTTAGCTTTCCTGGGTGCAGCCAGACTAGCAGAAATGCTGAGATTTCTCATTTCAAGCCTTACAAGGATGCTTACTTATTTAAAATGAAGAATAGCTGGAAAAGTTGAAAAAGGTTGAATTTATGTGCCACCATATGTCCTGTGGAGCCCACCTGTGCAAATCCCAGTGGAAAATCAGAAATGCATTCTCATTCAGTCTTTCATTTAGAGAATACCACATCTCCCTAATTGTTTCTGTGGCACTTGATTTCTGCTGGAGTAGGACTGTAAGAGTGTTATCCCTCAGGGAGCAGGGATCCTCATGGAAATGAGATGTGAATCTTGTCAGGCTGCCTGGTATGTGTGAAATTTTAACTAGCTAAATCCTGGTGTAAGGAAATTTGTTAGAAGTGCTGAATAAGAATTGTCAAAGTTCTGGAAGTTGATTTTTCCTGCTCTGATAGCAACTGTAATGATTTAAGATTAATTTTAGCATTTAAAAAAAAAAAAAAAGGAGAGGTAATTGCGGTACTTAAAAGCCTGAGGCAAAGCTTTGGAAAAGATAATTATACCTGTCTGTTTAATAGCATTAACTGCTCCAATTAAGGAGAATTGGAGGAAGGGACAATTTGTTTCCTCTTTAACTATTCTGTGAGGAAGTGGATTCGATAGTCAAGCAACAGAAATTGGTTTGATTTTTTTCTAAGGTGATTCCGAAAGGTTTAAACATTTTAAAGACTACTGGGGGGGGATCTTATCTCTTGTCATTAAGTGCTTAAGTTTATAGATATGCTGGTGTTTTACTGTCTAAACAGGAGAGGGGTTGGGTGTATTTTTGTAGTAAGCATTTTGTTTCACATCATTACCCTAATCTGGCCGTAATCCCAGCCTAAACACCCATAAACAGATTATTCTTAATCAGGGGAAGATGGGACAAGAAGAGGATTCCCTGTTGTTCCAAAAAGGCAGCAGGTTTAGGCTAGTTACTACTGATAAGAGCTAGAGCAGGCTGCAGGCTTGCTAAGTGGGGAGTAGGATTTGCTGCCCAAAAAAGCTTTCCCTGGGGCTTGCCTGCTCTAACAAACAGTGATGCATGTGTCTTTAAGTATAGGTGCACACACACACCAGTCATTACCAGGGATTTTGTGTCAATGCATTCCAGAATGCATACTTGCATATATAAGCAGGCATGGATTTTACCAGGGGGAACAAAGGGAACAGAGTTTAAGAGGGTTTTCATCCTTCTATGAATTGTTATCTTTCATTTCCTTGCTGTAGTGCTGGCATTGCTCCTGGCACTGTCCTCAGATCTTGAGTGGTTACTTAAGCTTTAACTAAAAGTTAAAAGCAAAGGCCAAAACTCACTTTGTGTGGTTGCACAAAGGCAGTAGCCCTGAATGAAAGGGAAGCACTATCCTCTTCGGAGTTGTAGCAGAGACAATGGATATTTTGAGCTTTTTAAGGCAGCCCTTCACCAGCTGGAATTGCAGAGCATAATTTAGGCAACAGACAGCTTGATCTTCGTTAAAGCAAGCATAACCCTCTGTTACACAATCCAGGTAGGCAATGGCACAGAGCACTCTTTCCTATCAGCTATGCATTTATTTCTCTATCTACATAGATGAATAAATATGGATGTATTTACACCTACAGAGTATTCAAATAGCATTCCAAAGCAAAACAACCCCCTGAATACATTTATGCCTGAGCCACAGAAGCTGATACCAGATTGATGTTAATCACATTGTTCCAGGCACCGATTGAAAGCTGGCAGCCAGTGCCACTGAGAACATAAACCCACCATTACTATCACCATGCTGCCTGTACCCACAGAACCCAGTGCAAAGAATATAGAACTTAAATACAACAAACACACTATTAAACCAGGAAAGGCTAACTAGGGATTCCAGTTAGAAATTTCTACTTTAGAATGAATAATAAAAAGCATTTAATTTTTGTTAAATATAAAGCTATTTAATTTTCTCCTTTTCAGTGGAGAAACATCAGCAGTAGACAGGAAGTCAAACAAGCTCAACATCATGAAGTGTTCCAGTGAAATACCTGACTTACCATGTGCAACAAAGACATTAATATATAGCCTGAGAGGCCATATGACTGGAGCAGCAGGAGAGAAATGAGCACTTAGCAGGAGCAATGGGTATGTTTAGTTTATTCAAGTCCAAAGCCTACAGTAGCTTTATTCAAGTAAATGATCTAGTCCAAAGAGAGGTTCTTTGAGCTCTGCACTACAATTAATCTTCCCATTCTGGTGATTAATTGCAGACACACACCTTATCACTCCTATTAAATAACCCTCTGCATTCCCCATCCCCTAGCAGCATGCGCTCTACTGGTGCTTGGTGATTAGCAAGGAAATAACTGACCACAACATGTGGTTTCCATTTATTAATCCTTTAATGATTAATAAAAATATGAATGGCACCACAACAGCCTCTTTTCTCAGTCTCGGCCTCTGAAAAGAAAAGCCAGGAGCCAAAGAAAGCTGCTGAAGCTGTTACCTGCTCAGATTTTTTCAGCTAGACACTTTTGCTTCTCCCAATCAGAATTAAATGTGTTCCATTTTAATATGAAATCTCATCATTCACCTCCACTTTTTTTTTTCTTATGACAGAAATGAGAAGAATGCAGTGATTTTAAGAGTCGAAAGCCACAGTAGATCCCCAGAGAAGACTGCACATCTCGTAATCTCTGATGGAGAGACAGCACCAACCTCTCATAAGTTACATACTTGTAAAATTTGTACTCTCATCCTACATTTCTTCATCACTAAGGGCTACTCGGCTCCGGAGTTTTAATCGGTTTGTAAAAGCCTGATTGGAGATCTGTATGGAGTTAGCCTAAGTTCTGATTTTTCCTATGACTTGGGAAAAATCCAGCCTAGATACTAAATTCTTACTTTGTCTTCTGTCACTACTAATGTATATACTTGACTGAAAACCAACCAGTTTGAATGGGGTGCCATAAGGCACACAATAAATGGCAGATCCTGCTCCAAAACTTTAGGAACACTGATGCAGTTGCATAAAAAACTTATTTTGGGTTTGCATCTGCTGCGTTTTATGTATTCAAAGGTCAGATTTCTCCAGCAGGTAAGCTAACAAGGATTAGCTTAAAGGAAAATGATGTATATTGAGCCAAAAAAATTAAACACCCCCAAACAAGTCTCTTCCTCTTCTATCTGAATGAAGGCAGAAAAAGAATCAAAGCACCTTCACTTTTTCTGCTATCCTGTTCCTTCAGTAGAATCAGAGATGCATATTTAACAGTTTGCCCTGGAAGTAGCACATTACTCTCTGTTAGTAGAATTACAAGCTAGTAATGTAGAAACTAATGAGCAGAACAAAGGAGCTGCTCCTGCTGCAGTGCCTTGGTGTAGCAGTCTCATCTCAACATTACCAGATTAGAGTGATGGGACTTCTGACATCCATATGCAGTATGGAGAATGTAACTGCCGCTATTTCAACATTTCACAACTACTTTCTTTCAAGTGTCCTTCACGGTGGACATGACCTTCCAAACATGGAATGCAGCAGATGAGGAGGTAGCAAAGAAGTCCAGTTCTAGTGTCTTGGCCAAGTTCCAACTTCAGTAATTACACTCTGCTCTTTAAATTCCCCCTGCAGCTCTAGTAGAATAAAGCTCTTTTTCAGCTTGCCCTGAAGCATTGTGGAGTATTTCTGTGAAGCTGTACAACACTGAAAACTTATCTCCTCCCATTAAAACTGCAAGGGGAATTTAGGGAGACAGAAAGCTATTACCAGAGCTGGAGTTTGGGCAGAACACCAAGGTTAACTTACACTTGCACTGGGATCAAGGGATCTTTGCTGACTAGGAGTGTCAGACCCCTATTAAAGAGCACAAGTGGGAATAGCTCACTGTGCTGCCTGAATGCAAACTTGGAAACTTGGGATCTCTGCACCTGGAAGGGACTGCAGGAATGTTTCCTAACAAATGACTCTGTTTAAAAGCCTCTGGTCTCTCATCACCACCCGATGTGGTTATTTAGTAATATTTCTGACATTCTTTGTTGATTAAAAAAAAAAAAGCTCCAGCAACAGCAACTTTAAAAGAAACACAACCTGTACTTTAAAAACAGCCTTTACTACAGAAAAGCAACTGTACAACCCAATTATGCCACAGCAAGTGTTTGAGTATCAGTAAGCAGATACACCAAGAACCACTCTGAGAGTGTTGAGGAAAGCTGAATCAAGCCTGCAGTAGCAGGGTAAGCATTCTGTTACATAGACAGCTGCAACAGTTTTCTGAGGCTCTCAACTGGGACTCAGTTAAAATATTTAGGTAACTGCCTCCCAAGTTAGTTTATACCCAACACTAAACAAGCCATTCTTGCTAAAGTAGAATAATTTAGGGCAATCACTATACAAATACCTGTAGAAAGGAAAAGATCTCTTCAAATCCATCCACTGGCAGAGTCTATTTGCTATTTATATTTTGTGCCTTTTTTCTTTTCTTCCTGTTGTTGCCTTTCCTTTTCAGAGCTGTAAGCTCAGTGCTCCCATTTCAGCCATTTGTTTAATCACCTTTCTCATATTTTCTTGTCTTCAGCCACCTCAGAAGAGCCAGCACAGTGATGCCCATGCCAGCAGCCAGCACCACCCTTGTCACCGCACCACCAAAGCCAGCACCCAGCTGCTGCATGCAAAACTCAGGCCTTTTCATCAATGTAGTAAATCTGTAGTTTTTCAACATCCAGAGCATCTCCATTGACACAGACAGTTCATGTACTGTTAGAATGAAATATGGAGTCATCTTTTATATCTTTTTCAAAGTCATAGAAAACATCAGCTATATTCACATCACACCTGGATTTCTCATGCTGGTTCAGGCGGATTTGGATAACTGGGGGCATGTTATTACCGCCTGTGATGTATTTGGGGTGCAGTTTGTATCGGCTCTCAAACAGATGTTTCAAGGCATTCACTACATCAGGACCATCAAAGGAACTGGACCGGTTTCATGCTTCAGCTCAATGTAGATCCAGTTTGTTCTAATCAGTTCACCACTACTGAGGTTTTCGTCACCCTTTTTAGTTCTCACTCAAGCATTGTTCACGCACCTGCAAGCGTTGGTATGACTGAACTGCCTGCTTTGAAGATTCCAGTGTCCTTCCAGACTGTATTGTAAATGCCATCATTACTTAACAGCCCATGGAGGTGGCCCCTGACGTTCTTCTCATTGCAGAGGATCATTTCTGCCTTCATTATCAAGCATCTTGAAGTCAGTGTTGAACAGTCTAACTTGTGATTTGAACCTACCAGTGTGCAGGTGCAGTTGTCAGGTCCATGCTGGGCACACACCATCCACTTGTTGGTCTCACAGATACAGCTGTTCTGCGCTGATGGAAGTACACCAGAAACAAACCCAACAAAACCCCAAACAGGCTCCATAGCACAGGGTTGCTATGGATGCACAGCTTGGATGCTGTCTGAATGACAGCAGTCAATACCTGAAGCTTTAATCCATTTGCTGAGTCTGCTCATCTCTACACACTGGTGTGCTGCTCCCTTTACCAAGATTCAAATCAGACCCACCAAACAGGTTCTTGTTCTGGTACCCAGAGAAGTCAACAAGGTTCAGGGAGCAGCAGCAATGCAACACCTGCCTCCAGATGTTTGTCATCCTTCCTTCTTAGTGAGGAAACAACAGGGGAGAGAGAAAAGCCAACTGGAAACAGCTCCCACCTTGCTTTGCCTTCCCACATGGATTAAAGCACAAGCAGCTTGCCCTTTTCCTTCTTCAGACTTCTTACAGACTATGTAAATGCATGTTTGAGGAATTTTTCCTGTCTGTGGAAGAAATCCTACTCTACTCCTATCATCATTTTTCCTGCCTCTTCCATCACACAGTTTCTGTATAATTCCACTGCCTGGCTTACTGCCAGTTATGGACTTCCTCCTTTCTACTTCCATATATTTATGAAATAAAGTCTTTTGGAGCTTTATGTATGCTGCCAGGAGAAGCTGACAATTCAAGAGGAACAACTGTTCGCCAGGCTGATGGCTGCTCTCTGACTTACAGAGCACAATTCTTATCTTCTAGCACGGAAAACTTCTCTCCCTGTGTTTCTTTGGCAATACTCATCCCAGGGCACCACTAGGAGTGATGACTTTCATGCTTGCATTACCCTTACAACATTGTTAGTCATTTCTAAAGAAATGTTTCAATCTGAACTTTGAGTAATGCCTTTCAAGTATACTCCAATAGCTCCCAAGCATCCTAATGATCTACAAAGTGTGAGTTACCATTTCCATGTGTTTTGGCAGCAGCTGAAAGGTGTTTTCCAGTTTGCATTAAGCACCTCCCATCCATCTGATTTGTCAAACACTATCAGCCACTTTATAAATCCTGATTCTGGGACCAGTAACGACCACAGAACAGTGGATATGCCATTCTCCCATACCTGCAACTCACCCACTGCCCTGCAGTCAACCCCTTCTATGTGTGCTGCTGGTTCCTGAAGGCCTGAACTGCTTCAGATCAGTGCAAGATGGGCTACCTGTAGTAGCAGCACTGACTGCTTCCATCTGAGTGAAGAGGGGGAAGTTACCCTGGCTATCAGTGTGTATTTATAACCCAGTAGAGGTTTAATATATGAGCTCCAGATGTAAATACCCAATAGAAAAAGGCACAATCCTAGAATGGTTTGGGTTGGAAGGGACCTTAAAGCTCATCCAGTTCCAGCCACCTGCCACGGGCTGGGACACCTTCTATTACTATTAAATGGCTGGCATTTCACATTGTCATCTTGATGTTTTGGTAAGAGTTTAGTAACTCTTCCCATTTCCCTCATTCATTTGCCTATCAGAATCTGCCCTTTTTTCAGTTTCACATCCCTCCTTCATAGTCAAAATCCATTTAACTGTCACCCACATACTTGCACCTTCTCTTTCATTTCATGTTATAAACTTCGGGGGGAGGGTTTGGAAACTGGCTTCCATGGAGCACTGTTAGCTTCCATATAGTCAAGAGCTGCACCACCCCTGTGCTTAGAAAGAACCATGAGGCTGAGCACAACCCGGGCGTTTTAGTGAATAGCACTTTGCTTGCGTGATGTTTCCAGGTGTTCACACTTGGTCTCAGCCTCATATTGTCATCTGACTGCTTTTCCCTTCTTACAGACACTTCCAACGAAGTAGAGAAAAAGGGGCTGTCAAAAGCCGCATATGGAAGGAAGGAAGGAAACCCATCAGTTACACAACAAGGCAGTCTGGTCTCACTGGTGGAAGATTCTCATTGCCATTACCTTAGTTATAAACCACATTCATTGGCTCTTCCCTCAAAGGTGAGCAGCAGCACAATGACAGTTTTACAACACACCCACCAGCAAGTAAAAATTGTAGAACAGTGATAAGAACAGGGCAAAGAGGAACAGTTCTGAGCTTCCCTGATGGTGCTGCATTAATTGCCAAGTGCACTTCATTGTACTGGTGGATTTCCCCCTCTGTAAATAAGAACATGCATATTATGAAGATAAAAGTCTTTCCAAATACCTATATACATCTATTACACTATATATATATAGTGCCTCTATGACACTAAAAAATATTATTCCTTTTAATTCATGCTAAGCTGTAATGGTACTACAAGAGTTAATTATTTCAAACAGCAGGCTGTAAAAGGAATAATCCTGCAGAAGCTGTGGTGTGCCTTATTTCTTTAGTGATCTCTGCTTCCATGGAAACAATTTCTCAGCACAATTCTAAATCTCATCAAAATAGGGCACTAAGTCTATGTAAACCAGCAAGACATTGCCAATTAAACAACCTGAATGCTTTTATCTAGGACATTAAATGCTTTGGCCAGTATCAGACACTATTACCATGTTGGCTGGGATGTTAACAACCAGCTACTTCGATGTGCCGGCTCTGTGGGCCAGATAAAGTCTCTCTGCACACATCCTGACTCACCTTCTCAGCAGGCCTCGCAGTGCATTCCCTTCCATTTGCAGGACCCTGGAGACCACTGCTCTGGTGTTTGGGGTGAGCTGCTCACCTCCATGCTGCTTGCTTCCACTTCCGTGGCATCTCCTTCCCTTACACAATACGTTCCATAATGCCCAGCAGAATAAACTCTGCTATCCCAGCAGGAAGGAGTTAATCTTGCTCCTACTGCTGGCAGAGATAAAGCTAAACCATACTTAGATTAAATGGTTGATGATGCCCCATGCCTGGCAGTGTTCAAGGCCAGTTTGAACGGGGCTTGGAGCAACCTGCTCGAGTCAAAGGTGCTCCTGCCTGTGGCAGGGGGTTGGGACTGGATGAGCTTTAATGTTCCTTCCAACCCAGACCATTCCAGGATTCCGTGAAGATAATCTGATTATCATCTTCAGAATTCACTGTAGCTGCCCATGAAAACAAACCCATTACCTAAGTTTCATGATCCTGCAGCCAGGATTCTGAGTGTAGAAAATACTGATCCTGGCATCCCAGCCACAAAGTACCACTGGGTAAGTTTCTGCAGGAGACTAAACAGGGGGGTTGTAACAGAAGAAAGAAACAAGCCTGTATCAAGGTACAGTGCTACTGCCCATAAAATGTGATCACTAGCCAGAAGTTTACATGAGCTAGTAAAAGCAGGGTGGCTCTTCCTTGAAAACCCTTTCTGTATGAGTTGTAGCAACGCTCCCTCTAGTGGTATGAAAGTTGTGGAACCACTTGATCATAGTTAACTGGCTTGGAATAAGGAAATACCAGATCTGACACTCGAGAGACAAGAAGACATTACACAGGTGGAATACAACCATGTATAGCCTTGGTCAGTAGAGTCTTGTACACCATCCCTCAGGAACAGCAAAGTAACTTAAAGGGAAAAAATATATAACAGCAATGGCAACACTGTTAACTTTGGTGTTTAGTTTTGTTTGTTTCGGGGTTGCTTGGTTAATTTTTCCTCAAATGAACTTAAAAATATTCTTTGAAAGTTAAATTCTGGTCGTTCCCCTCCTCTGGAATACAAGTCCCTGTGTGAGGCACTGCTGGTAAGTAGGACACAAACCTTCACACAGGCCATGAGGGATTTGTGCAGGAATTGATATCTGAAAGATCTGGATGTTTTTTTGGTGATTCTTTCTGAATTTTTCACATTGTTGTCTCTTCCTGTTTAAACTGTATCACTCTACTTGCTACCCAACCATCAACCATCTCCTGAGCAACAATGTGGCAAGGCCAAGAGTGGTCCAACATAAAGAACAAGCATCTTAGTCCTCAGGAGGTATGCTAACCCAAGCTGGCATGGAAGGAAGAGCTGGGTGAGGAACAAAGAAATGGAAGTGAGCTTTGCAATAAAAAACAAAATAAGTTTCAAACGTTAATAGCAAAAATCAATTTAATGCTTTATCTGTGTGTTTGGTACCAGCAGTGGTGATATTACTAACATAGAAGAATGCAACTTTCAGACTCATGTTATTAATCACAGTCAATATGAATTGTGAAAAGGAGGTTGGTTATTTTCTTCCTACTCAGCATCACAAGTGTGGTAGTTGTAGTTCACATGTAACAGCGTGTGGCAGTGATGGAGTATGAAGGTACTACAGGTACATTTCCTCCCACACCACCCTTCTAACCAACCCTTAAGATGATCCAGAGTCCGTATGTGTGCATCAACAGCTCAACACTGCACCACATCCTCTTCTGAAGAGACAAACCACTTCAAACATAGGTTTTACTCCAAACTTTTGTTTTGTAACATCACTGTTAAACCAAATTAGCACAACCATATTACTTGAACTCGTTTTAATCATTTAACAGAGAAGCAGCCAGCACATTGTTATCACTCCTTGAGAAGTATCAACATACATCCAGCACTGGCTTAAACCAGACCGTAAGTGGAGAATGAACATGATTACTTCTTATTGCTGTTACACAGGAGGTTCAAAATTCCCTTCCTATAAACCAGACCTAATTACAGCTTGTAGTACATTTACAGTGGGTATTTTTTCTGGAGAATAAACCTATGCAAAGCTGCAAGAGAATACCTTACACTGCAGACCACTCCACAATGAAGAAGGGGAGAAATGCTTGCTCACCAAGAGTGCAGCTTCAACTGGAAACACAGAAAGCCATGCAATGGGTTTCATTTGGAAGTCCTAAAGATGGCATGTCAGGATAGATGCAGTCTGAGTCAACATGCCTTAGGTAGATGGATACACCAAGCTTGTAAGTGTGGTACAGCGGTGGGATCTTGAGCTGCTCAGCAGCAGATCTGAGCATAGGTGAGAGCACAGAACATTCACAAGTGCTTTTAAGTCCACAGCTCTTGGGAGAGCCACCCAGTACCAAGGGCCTCAAGTCTTCAGATGAGCAGGCTCTGCACCTTCCACTTAGTAACAGAGAGACACTTACCTACTTCATGAGGTGTGACCTGAACTGCCTGTACAGGACCTCCCGCCTTGGGATGCAACTCTACAATTGTAAAGCTTTTCAGAAGTCTTTATACAACTGAAAAGCTGAAGTTAAAAACAAACATACAAAATCTTAAAATCCCATTTCTGTTATGTAGAACTAGATATATACACATATATATTTTTAAGATAGGAACAGAGTCCATCGCCACCCCTCTAGATATAAACTCAAGGTCTTGCTTTTCAAATATATTTTAGACCTCTCTGATAAATTCTGCCCAAGATAAATCTGCATAAAGAGCACTAACTGTACATAAGTTGTTGTATGACTTAAAAGCTAAGTTTAAAGCACACATTTTATAAAGATTCACAGTGATACAGCTCAGGAAACTCATTTCCAAGTTGCAGTCAAGAAACTTCTCACTCAAGATCAATCGTAGAATCACAGAACAGTCTGGGTTGGAAAGGACCTTAAGATCTTCCAGTTCCAACCCCCTGCCATGGGCAGGGACGCCTTACACTAGACCCTGTCACCCAAGGCTCTGTCCAGCCTGGCCTTGAACACCACCAGGGATGGGGCATTTAACACTTGTGCCAGTGCTTCACCACCCTCACAGTAAAAAACTTCTTACTTAAATATAACCTGAACTTCCCCTGTTTAAGTTGAACACGTTACCCCTTGCCCTATCACTACAGTCCCTAATGAAGAGTCCCTCCCCAGCATTGTTATAGGCCCCCTTCAGATATTGGAAGGCTGCTATGAGGTCTCCACACAGCTTCTCTTCTCCAGGCTGAACAGCCCCAACTGTCTTACCTGCCTAACTCATCTGGCTGTGGACTTGCATGAAATTATAACCACAGAACTGATACAAACCAGCGTGTTTTTCTTCTGAGCTGCACATTAGAGAGAAGACTCTGAATATAAAAATTGTTGGGCTTTTCTCTTTAAAAAGACAACTACTTTTCTGCTTGTTGCACTCAGTTTGCTGTCAATCGAGAGCTCTGGTTTCCACAGGAAACAGCAGCCATTAGAAGCAGACAAATCACACTGATGTGGCAGAACAGCAGAACACCTCCCTGCAGAATGGAAGAGCAGAAAGACTGCAGCCTGTAACAAGACAGGAGTTATCATTTCCACTGGAAACAAGTACAACCGCTACTGAGAAGTCAGCTTTTTCTCCCCAATACAAAAGCAAGATGGCAAAGAACATGCCAAGAAGCTACATGACCTTCAATATGTGTGTCGGGGGGGAGGGGGTGTTGAAATAAAAGAAAACAATGATATATTAAGCTAGAACCAAGCAATGCTTCAGACTGGATATCAGGGAAGTTTGTAAGCAGGGAGCTACAAACCCTTCATTTCAGTTAACTTTCTCTGTTGTGGATTCATTCCAACTTACAATGAATAAAGCATTAAGGAGCAAACTCATCCCAAGCGAGATGTGTACCTGTAGATAAAATTCCCAAACTGACTTGAGAGAGGATAAACTCTCCTTGAAGCCTGAAGCCCACTATTCCTGGCAGGATGTCCTTCATCCCAGACATCACACTGTCAATCAGTTCCATCCTGTGGCACTGTGTGCCACAGTATTAGTATGAAGCGTTCCTCCCTAGCCAGGTCACACGCGTTAGGAGGCTTTCAAAGTATCTTTGTACCTTAACAGCAGGATGACACTGGATTCTGTAACAGTTACAGCTAAAATGGATGGGAATTCTGAAGGTGTTAACATAGTGGGAGAAAGGGAAGAAAAGAAAGCTATAAAATCAATATTCCATCAGCTGGTTTGGTTAAAGCCATCACCCAGGCAGTTCATTCGAACTCTGATTCCCGTTTTCTTCGGCATCTCTCTTTTTCTCGCTCTTGTATGTGGAAAGGAACAAGTTCTCTATCTGAGTCAAGAACTCTTCAGCAATAAGGCAGTTTGTGACCTTGCGCAAAGTCTTCCTCATGCACTCCAAAAGCTGGTCAAAAGAACAGAACATTTTCTTTTAAATGGTTATTTTTCCTGAGTTTATTTTCAACCCTTCTAGCTGGTAAGTATTCCAAAGGGATTTCTACTTGTTTATTTAGGACTCACACCAGTCACCTCAGAAGCATACAATGGTTTGGGTTGGAAATGACCTTAAGATCATCCAATTCCAACCCCCTGCCATAGGCAGGGACACCTCACAACTAGGCCATGTCACCCAATACTCTGTCCAACCTGGCCTTGAACATTTCCAGGGATGGAGCATTTACCACCTCTTTGGGCAACCTGTGCCAGGATTAACACTAGTGAAGAGTTCAACTGTACAATATAAACTGCAGAAACAAGAACACATGGGTGATATAAAACCAATTATACAAGGATTAAATTCCAAAGCATTCTAACATTTAACTCAACTGGAGACTGAAGCTGTTTATAAGCAAAATCATATTGAGAGGAGAGACAGAATTAGCTGTGGGTAATTATTGTGCACGTGTTTTCTGTTTATGTCTTCTGCTTTCAGCACTATTTCTGTCTTGTTTGTGTGATTTATGTTCCAGCTGCAGATTTGTGGCAATCCAAACAGTTGTATTTAAGAAAAACATTTAAAATCAGGAAAGCTGAAAGAAGAAACTTACTTTCTGCAAACAAGTCAGGTCGGAATCTCTGTGGAAAATTTTATCCATGGGAACACTGCTGTTGAAAGAAAAACAAATCATAGAAATAAAGAATCACTGAACTGTTTGGGACTGGAAGAGACCTTAAAGCTCATCCAGTTTCAAATCCCTGCCACAACCAGGGACACCTTCCACTAGAGCAGCTTGCTCCAAGCCCCTGTGTCCAACCTGGCCTTGAACACTGCCAGGGATGGGGCAGCCACAGCTTCTCTGGGCACCCTGTGCCAGCGCCTCAGCACCCTCACAGGGAAGAGCTTCTGCACAAGAGCTCATCTCAGTCTCCCCTCTGGCAGGTTAAAGCCATTCCCCTTGGCCTGTCCCTACAGGCCCTTGTCCCAAGCCCCTCTCCAGCTTTCCTGCAGCCCCTTCAGGCACTGGAGCTGCTCTCAGGTCTCCCCTTCAGGAGCCTTCTCTTCTCCAGGCTGACCCAGCCCAGCTCACTCAGCCTGGCTCCAGAGCAGAGCTGCTCCAGCCCTCGCAGCACCTTCATGGCCTCCTCTGGACTCGCTCCAACAGCTCCATGTTCTTCTTGGGTTGTTGCCCCAGAGGTGGACACAGGACTGCAGGGGGGAGAATCCCCTCCCTCACCCAGTTGCTCACTCTCCTTTTGATGCAGCCCAGCTCACAGCTAGCAAACAGTAATGCTGTAGTGAGCAGTCACATATTTGCATTGGCACAGTAGTGATAAACATGCATAAACCCTACCCTGGCTGCTCTTTGTAACAGAAGCAGACACTTACCTATGGCAGAATCTGTATTTTTCAATTATCCACCTGGTTTTTGCAAATATTAATTCCCACTGTGGTTCCTCCAGCATCTGCTGGACTTCAAACTTGTAGGGCAGGCCTGGAACAATAGAACAGGGGTAGCTGGTGTTTCTAGTCCACTCACCATTTGCTTTCCCTTTTGTTTTAGCTTTAGGCGCAAGCCCTTCCTTCCCCATAACCACTCATAAGTTATTACTGACTGTGAAAGCTGACAGTCCTGCTACTTGCCAACGTTGAGGTTAAACTAAAAGCATGACATATTTTGTATTCCAAATTTGGTTTTGGTGGAGGTAGGGAATAAACCTGTTCTCACCCTCAGCAATTCCTCATGTCAGAGGGAGCACCCAGAAGCCTACACCATAACAGAAAATGCCAGAGTGGATGGAGGTTTTTCTAACTTAGGGAGACTACAAAAGTGATGCTAAAATCTATGCAGCTGTTCGGTGAATAAAGGTTTGGGGTTTATGTATGAAGTGGTTGACTCTTGTCAGAGGGATTCTGCTCCTCAAGGAACAAAATCTTCTAGTTTATTGCAGGTAGGGAAAGAGGAATTTAGGAGTATTTTAAGGAACACCAGAAAAGGACTTGCAGAACAATTCAGTTACCAAATATCAGCACGAAAGGGACTGTAAATCTGAGTAATTCATTAATAAAAGCCTTTTAAGAACATTAAAATTTAATGAGAACTCCAGCTTTCCAACTAGGAAGTGAAAAGAAAGTAGCAAATACCATTTGCTAGTTGAACACATCTCAAATGTGCTAAGTGTTCAGTGCAGAACACATTCTGAGAGTAAGACTTAATCTATAGCAATACTTACGCTCACATGAAACACTAACTGCGGTTCATTGAGCAGTGCTGTGCTATCACTTTTCCAAAGAAAAAGAGGAGACACCATTTGGGAAAGAGTGGATTTCAGGAGATAAGCATCGATATGAAGCCCCCTCAGATAGAAAACGTAGCGACCAGAACACGTCTGCTTCTGAGGGCAGATAAAGTTCCTAACTCCACCACACAGGTGGGGTGCATGGGAAGCGGGGTAAAGTCACAGCACCATCAGCACAACAGACAGGAACCTGGGCACAGATGGGGCCACTTCTTCACTCCCCCTTGGCCTGTGAGGTGAGTCTGCAAGCAGATGTGCTCCCCTGCTTCCTGACACAGGGGAAAACAGGGGAGCTGCTGGCTCACACAGCCTCTGCTAGCGCCTTGCCAAGAAAACTGGAACCTTGGAGTTTGGATGCAAAAATCAGGATTAAACAGGCGGAGGGGAAATGGAGAGGGAAGATGCAGCTACTATAACCCTGTACTGTTATCAAGGGAATTTCTCTCAAATTTACTGTAGTGATAGGACAAGGGGTAATGGGTTAAAACTTAAGGAGGGGAAGTTTAGATTGGATATAAGGAAGAAGTTCTTTACTGTGAGGGTGGTGAGGCACTGGAATGGGTTGCCCAGGGAAGTTGTGAATGCTCCATCCCGGGCAGTGTTCAAGGCCAGGTTGGACAGAGCCTTGGGTGACCTGGTTTAGCGTGAGGTGTCCCTGCCCATGGCAGGGGGGTTGGAACTGGATGATCTCAAGGTCCTTTCCAACCCTAACTATTCTATGATTCTATGATTCTAAATTAGTGTCAGGGAGTGAGCAGATCCAATCATCCCTTGAAATCCCATGAATTTTATCTGGTGGGTTCTGAACTTGGGTTTCCCTGGACACCAGGAACTTTGATCCTCTGACCTTCTGCATGCTAAGTTACCCAAACAAGCATTTTCGGCTGCTATAGCAGCCAATTCTTAACTATCTCACTTCTGCCCCCTCAAACAGAGGGTCTGCTCAGGATTTTGTTACACAGCAGAGTAAGTGATCCACGTGAAGCAGCTCCTCAGCTTTACGTATGGACACTGTATGTAAGTAACAGTGACTCTTGTCCCAACCCTTTAATTCCTGGATTATGGGAAACACCAAGACATTCTTCCCTCCATCTGTACCTGTATATTCTTGTCATGACAGCAGGGACTACCTGCAGGATTACTCCTTAAGTGAAAGTCCTAGGTTTATACAGCACATGTTACCAATACATAAATCTCTAATTCCAAGCTCAAGAACCAGCAACGTTCTCCCCATCAGTATCCAAAAGGAAAAGACAAAATAAAACACTGGATAAAACACTGGTACTTACGGTAGGAACCGTCAGAACTGAGCTCATCACTGATCACTAGACAAGTCATCTGAGAGTATGGGAGAGGATTATTTCGGTTGTAAGGACTTATAATCATCCCAATGAACATGGCACCACCCCTGGAGAAGTAACTCTAAAAAAACCCAAAACCACACAAGAAATACAACTTTTTTCAGAACAGATTCTGAAATTAACAGATTTTTATCTCAATTTAGGAATGATTTTAAGATACATTTGAGTGATAATGTGCATTAACATTGTAAATACCAGGGAAGCTTCAGGGTTGTTGGGGTCTGGTTTTGCCGTTTCTTGTTTTGTCATGTACAGAGCAGCATTTACCTGGTATTTGGCTTGAGTGTCAATGTCTCGGATGGAGGGGTTGGGGTCAAAGGCGGGGTGGGAATGGTACCACCCAATGACACTGTATCCTCTGGCAGCCAGTGTTTCCGAGGCTTGTGTTTGAGACACTGGGTCCATCTCGCACTGCAGCCCTGTACTGAGACTACTGCAGGGCTCCGCTGCACAAACCTGTTAAGAAAGCCTCCAGATGGATAAATGCAAGAAACCTCCATCAGTTCAATACAACTGAAAGCATTAAGTCATACACCTTGTGTTCCTCATGTCAGATCAAAAGCATCTCAGATCTTCTGCATAACTTTAACACCTCAAGACTAATCAACTTTAATATATCTAAGTACTTACCCTTCAGAAGTAACCTTTCCATCTATTCAAATTAATATAGATGATCATAACAGGTCTAATACTGTAGAGAGAATGTAAAGACAAACACTTACTTCCACAATTTTATCCGCTTCCGAGTATCTTCCACCCAGCAGCCCTATTACTTCTGCCATAGACACGTGAGAGTGCTAAAACAATATTAAACAACTATTAAAGCCCAAGTTGTACAATGTCTCCCAGTTTTGAGCTACACATGACAGAAGACATCAGCTGCAAGGCAGTAACTTCTCAATGATGTTTAGGAGGAAACCTTAGGATAGCTACGGATTCTCAAACATGTAGTGTTTCAGTTTAAAGCAAACTGAAGAGAACGTCTGCTTTCTTACATACACACAGGCATACGCTTATATACACACTTGTAGAGCACCTCCAGATGTGATGCAGTGCTAGCTGCAAAAACTGAAGCTCAATAACTGCACAAGTCTTGTTGCTCTTTAACAACACCCCACACATTGCTTTAGAACCACAAGACTAGCAGAAAACGAGCCCCTAAGATCTCAAAATGGCAGTCTACGTTAGACAGAAGCTTTAAGCAAACTGTATTTAAAATATGACAGAGTAATAAGCAGTACAGTTCATAGTTTTCCTAGAAGGTAAATGGTTGTACACTGAGCACAACAGTAACAAAAATAACCTTTAGAGGCTTTATTTAATCCCAGATTCTTGCTTCTGGGGCTGGATGCAAACAAACGCTGCATTTCTCAGTCTTATGTTGCCCATTAAGAAGTAACACAAGACAGCACAGCTTTCTGAAAGATACAACTTGATCCTCACCAAATCCATTATTAGAAGTGCTTCAGAAGATACTTTCACCTGAAAGGGTTCCTGCAATGATAAACACAACAGTGAGCATGAGAAACGTGACCCAAGGCAATGAAGCATTCTTGATCATTCACTCTGGGTACGTACCTGCTTCTCTGCAGTGAACAGGCAGCACGGAATCAGCTGAAAGGGATCAAAGGAACTATAAAATGAAAGAAAATCTCTCTAAAGATGTAGGACAGTCAGGAAACTTCCCAAGTTTCCCACTGTCTCCTTGGTAGAGGAGGAACAAGCATGGTTTCTTTACTGAATTTTCTCATCCCACAGCAGGATGACTGCCACCAAGTACAGAAACTTCACTACCCACACTCACAAATGTCCGTATGAAACAGCTGAAACACACACGTGTTATTTCAGACCACAACAGGTATTAATGATTTGTGGCATTCCAGCCTGACACCATGCAAGGCACTGGTCTCATGTCTAGCAGCTCTACATTTGACCATCAGGTACATCATATACCTTTTTGTTTGTCTTGAACCTTTAGAAGATTTTGCAGGTTTCAGTTTCTCCTCCTCCCTTCTTCTTGCTAATTCCTCAGCAGAGAGATGCTAAAAAGAGACGAAAAAGAGTCTTAAAGTCTTCAGTGTTCTTTCAGCAGTGATTCATCTCGATCTCCCCTCTGTCAGCCTAAAGCCATGTGCCCCTTGGACAAGGGCCTGCCCTCATCCCAAGCCTCTCTCCAGCTTTCTTGTTGGCCCCTTTAGGCACTGGGAGCTCCTCTAAGGTCTCCCTGGAGCCATCTCCAGGCTGAACAACCCCAGCCAGGCGCAGAATTAATATCAGGAACCCCTATCACCTGCATTATAAACACAAAGAAGCCACATAAGACTGAAAAAGCAACATTTACATCTTATTCTCCTATCTACTACTGTCAGCTTTCCATTACTGCAGGTAATGGAAAACAAAGGGTCATGAGATGTCCTACAAGACAAGGCAAAGAGCTTTATAGGCCTAAAACAGCACAGGGTGACACATGCTCACAACAAACACCTTTTGTAAACACCCAGCTCCAGTTGTGTTTATCAGCACCATAAAGATGTGACAGCCACTACGTTATTCTCAAGTCATTGCTTCCGCCACCAGAGGTTACATACCCATGACACAACTGTTTCCCTACACATTTGATGCAGCAGCACCTGACAGCCATGAGCAAGAATTAGTTCTTCAAGGACAGCGTAGACCCCAGCAGGGTTACCTCAAATGTCTGTCCTTCCAAATCCTTTGCATCACACCAGTTTCCCCAAGGGTCCCGCACTCGCCGTCGTCTTGTACGCTGCAGCAAAGCGAAGCACAAGTCAAGGATCCTACTCCTGAGAGCACTGCATTTACAGTAATCAGCCCTAAGAACACTGTCCAAAAGGTGTCCTACAGCATGCTGTATTTGCAGGGAAGAAAGAACACCCTGGATGGAGCTGTGTAGATTTAAGTACTTCACAATCTGTCATCAAACATCATCAGTCAAGCTGTCATTTCTTAAGGCTGTAAAGTGTAACGCCTGGTTGACGTTCCATGGATCATCCACATCTGACAGCAGCAGTGTGTTATATCCAGCTCTGAATTACAGCTCAGACAATCCAAGCACCCAGTACATTTACATCTAGTGGATGCTGCAGTTCTTTATATTTCAACTTATTATTTTCTTCCCAGTGAGACTGACTTTGTTTTTCTCTCATCAACTGGTTTATTTTGCTGTGAAGCACTTAAAAATGTCACATTATTTAAACCTGGCAAGCCTTGGTAATTCATGGAGTTATAAATGAGTTACCACAGTGCTTCACTGCGTGCGTCAGGCTCTCGGCAAGCCATATCATATACCTGTTACACTTAACAGTTCAAGTGCAAGCACCCCCATCACACACTACTGACACACACCACTATTTTCTGGCTAATTCAGGCTAGTAAGTTATGGAGAGGTGGGGAGGAAGAGCAAAGATCGAAACACAGCTGTAGTTAAGTACCTGAACAGCAATCAGATAGGTAACATGGCCAAAGTTAGGGCAGAAACCTGTCTGATAGCAGACCCTGCACTTAGCCTGACACTCAAATGACAGAGCATCCTAATGCCACTGCGAACTGAGTGAGAGAAGAAACCTCCCGAGATGCCCCAGCTTGAAGACAAAAATCAACCAAGACCTTCCCCATGCTGCATGTTTCTGGCTGCCCCCACCACAGCATACCATGGACTGCAAGCGCTGGGCGAGCTGATACGCTTCCACAGTGTCTTTGCCTTCCTTGGCCCGGGTCCTGTCCGCTGGCTGGGGGCGGTTGTAGACAGCCTGCTCTGCAGGAGAGAGGGGAGACACTGCTCTTCAGTGAGGAATGAAGCCACTTACTCCCAGTGCAGAGCCAAGAATGACACAGAGAAGTGGTAACAAACACCATAAAGAAGGAAGCAACAACAACAAAACAACCCACAGTGAAAAGACATCTTGATGGTGGTGTTACTGACACTCCCACTACCGCAGTGCTTTTAAGATGGGGAAACCTCTTTCCTTATTGTTAATAACCTTTACTTCAGCCAAAATGTATTTGGAGGACATTCCTCCTCCCCTAGGTGACTGTCATTCAGCTTTAGAGTCTCTGGATTGATTTTGGTCCAAACCAACATTAAGTTATAGGTGTATCTGTACTTCGTGTATATATACTTTAAACATGTCACCGAATTTTAACACTTGAATCTTGTAAAAATTAGCCCTGAGGATGAAGATACTGCTTTTTATTTAGGAAAAAAGTTGTAATTCAGTATAGGAAAAGAAACAGCAACGTCTTAGCTCCGTCTGATGCAGAGGGTGGGCAGAATTCCAGCTGGTATCAGGAAAATGCATCAATCCCACACTGACACACAGAAAAGCACAAAGCCACCTCACAGCTGAGGTGTGGTGAACATGAGGGAGGGGGGAAAAAAAAGGCAGAAGAAAGTAATAGATATGGATAAAACCAAAACCCCATAATCCTGTAACAGGTTACAGACTCCTCCAGATTTCAAAGGTCACCAGTGACAATCTGCTCAGAAGGTCCTCCCTAGCAAGGATTAATGTGTATCCTCTGTGCACGCAGCGCATCCTGACATGAAGTCATCTTTCAACACTAGCACCAAAACAGACCCCAACCACAGGGGCTGGAACATGGGACACAGTCTAAACAGAGGTTCTCTTCTACAGAACTGAATTGTTCCGACAGTTACTATTTAAGACATTAGGAGTACAGAGAAGTTGGATTATCCACATGGATGCTTGATTCCGATGAAGTGCAGCCATACACACTTCAACCAAGTGAACTTAGGAGTTTTCTTTTAAAGACATAGAGAATCACAGAATCAACTCAGTTGGAAGAGACCTTTGAAATCATCAAGTCCAATATATATATTGACTTTATACCAGCACTGTATATATTGCGTGTATATATATATATATATAGCTTTATACCAGCACTGCCAAGACCACCACTAACCCATGCCACTAAGGGGCTTATCTACACTGTGAACACTTGCAGGGACAGTGATTCCATCACTGCCCTGGGCAGCCTGTTCCAATGCTTGAGCACCCTTTTGGTGTAGAAATTGCTCCTATTCTTCAGTCGAAATCTCCCCTGGCACAGCTTGAGGCAGTTAGTTTCCTCTTGTCCTATCACTTGTTACTTGGGAGAAGAGACCAGCCCCCCCCTCGCTCCATCCTCCTTTTCATCTACTTAAACTTTCCTGTTCAACCTTCACAAGGAATCATTCATTTTAATAAAAGAAGCTGACAGACACATGTTGAGCATGCACTGAAGAGAACTGATCCCAATAACAATCTCTTTACCACAGCCAAAGTTAATTGCTCCGATTAATTCCAGGTACGTGTGGATGCGCCCAATGCAGTTCACGTCGCCACAGTTCTTCAGGCCCGGCCGCACTGATGTCTTGTTCAGGTACTTGGGTTTACACCTCTCCCTAAAATAAAGCACAGCACGTTGTCAGTAAGTAAAACAAATCCTGAGGAGAGGGAGGAAGGAATTGTGACCTGATGTGAGGTTAAAACAAGCACTGGTGGTTTTTCCCTCTGTGATGCACACACTATTTACTACTGCTCAGGGCAATGACAGCAAAAATACAAACTCCTCAAACCACACTACTTACTTTAGGTTATTCATACACATTCATTCTTAGGCAGAGTGAGACTCCTGCTCCCTGTGCTAAGACAAACTCCTCAACCTAAGCCATGCCAGGAAGCAATGAATTCCTCAGAAGAGCTACAATACTGTTTAACTGATACAAGAACATCTGCATTAGATTAGTCCAAAGAGCTCATACAATCACTGGCCTCCTTAGTGGAATGAATGAGGCTGTTCTTATTTTCTTTGCACTTATCACTCACTTTTAAACTGACACTGAATTGTGTCAGTGCAACACTTCTCTGCTATGGAATGTCAGGGTGTCTTTGCAACTACATAAGCTATCAATACACAAGACAACTGGATGGGAACAGTTAAACTCAGGAATTCTTCCTATTGAAATGCAAGTTACCCAGCACAGCAGGCACCAAACCACAGATGCTAACAGAACAAACTGTACACTGAGCCTGCTGCCACCAGGCACTTCACTTCTGAAACTGATTCTCTGGAGATGGAATAGAAAACACTCAAGTGACAAGCGCTGCCCCCAGTTGATTTTCAATTAGGGGTAATTTCTGGTCAACATCATTTGCTCTAGCACAGATAATTTCTTTTAGGTGCCCTTCTGTAAAGGCAATACTGCAATGCTACAGACCTCACTATGGAATTAATTTAATCATTTTGAGGAACCATTTATTATAATAACATAGGCACTCTTACATATAGGATGGCAAAAACGGGAAGAAAATTACGCAACCAAATGGATGCATCTTGTTCTGATACAAAACACTCGTATTCCTCATGCTTTAAAGTATTTTCATTGCTTAGCTTTCAGAATGCCAGAAAAAAAAAGAAGATGCAGAGGAAGCGTTAATAATCAGTGCTGTTCACTGGCAATCTTCATAACGCTGCCATAAAATCAGTTTTACCCTTTTCAGGAGTAAGCTATTGGTACTAAATAGCGTTTAACTAAAGCAGAGCAGGACACGGGTTATCTTAATCACTTATTTCAGTAAATGAAATTAATGCACCTTACCATTGATCCAAAATGTAATTCCTAATTTTCAGGTACCGCTCTGGTGTTTTGGCCTGGCGCCCCTCAAAGAACTCAGGAATAGCCTGCTTTTCTTCATCCAGAATGATGCTCCTGTCAACCTCCACTTCTTGTTCAGGTGGCTTAAGCTCCTCTGCTTCTTCTTGATGATCTTCATCCCCTTGGCAGGGAGAAGGAAAGAGCAATCCATTATCAGCCAGGTCTCTCTGTCTCTCATGGAGCTCCTGATCAGCTTCTTGTTTAATACCACAAGATGTTGCTAGTCTGCCTTGGTCACTTTTGTCCAGAAACTTACTGTACTGATGGTAATGTAAGTTCATAGGTTTATCACCATTCAGGTGCTGAGAACAGGTTGCCACAACACTCGGGAATACCAATGCATCCACTGTATCTTGCTTGGTATGGCGAGGATCTTCTTTATGTAAAGAACCTGTAGAACTATGTCCAACAGTTGAAGAGCCATGTTCCACTCCCTTTGTTTCTTCAACAGCACTTTTGGAAATAACAGCTAATTCAGGGTTTCTGGTTTCCTGCTGGGAACTAGGGGAAAGCAGCTCATCCATGTCATCAGTTATGTCCACTTCTTCATCATCTGACAGCTGCTCAATTTTCACTGCATTCAGATTGGGGTCTGCACGGCCTCTCAAGCTTCCAGCTGACCATGCTTCTGCCTTTATCCCGTCTTCAATGGGAAGGCTGCTCCCACATTGACTTTGTGCTTCTTTTTCAGAATCACCATTTTTTGCCTTTGGGAAATAGAAAATAGTTTTAGGAAGAAAAATCAAAAAAATCCCCCTGCCTCCCAAATAGTCAGAACTATTTCACTCAGACAGCAGATATTTAGAAGTGTTTCTTCCTCAATTATCCTTTTAATAAGCTTTCATGGAATCCCAGAACGATTTGGGTTGGAAGGGACCTTAAAGCTCACCCAGTTTCAACCCCCTGCCATGGGCAGGGACATCTTCCACTTGACCAGGGTGCTCCAAGCCCACCACAGGGAAGAATTTCTTCTTAACATCTAACCTTAATCCCCCTCTGTCAGTTCAAAGCCATTTCTCCTTGGCCTGTTCCTACCTGCCCTTGTCAATTCCCTCTCCAGGTTTCTTGTTAGCCCCTTAGGCACCTGAAGCTGCTCTAAGGTCTCCCCTTAAGAAGCCTTCTCTTCCCCAGGCTGAACCAGACCAGCTGTCTCAGCCTGACTCCACAGCAGAGCTGCTCCAGCTGTTGGAGCATCTCAGTGGCCTCCTCTGGACTCACTCAAACAAGTCCATGTCCTTCTCATTTTAATCCATTGCAACCGACTCTTACACAGCATTATAGATACTTTTAGCTAAAGTGTAAATTAACATGTATTTCCATTTAAAAACAACTAGACAGTAGTAATTAAATGCCCCAGAAGTCTCAAATGAGGCTAAACCTTTAACTAAAAACACAACTAAAACAGCTGTACAGTGGGAAAACAAGTATATTCAGACTAACAACCAACAGTGTCAGACTACAATTATACTACAGTTACTGTTTAGTTATAACAGGAATAAAAATACCCAAGTCATTCTAGGAGTTTGGAATCCGTTTTATCTTTAAATCTGCAAATAAGCACATTCCACTTTTCTGAATATGGGAATAAACAGAGTACGTGCTTTAACAGCAGTACCCTGAAAAGACAGGTTAAAATCAAGCTATATGTGCAACAGCAGACTTATCAAACATCCTTTCTGCTAACTACAGAGACACTCTATTTACCTTGTTCTTAAAATACTGCCGAGCGTAGCTCTTCACCTGCAGCACAGTACGACTGCCAATCAGCTTGGCAATTTTCGTCCACCGGCGGCCAAATTTCACCTGGTACAACACAACACATTTACGTTACCCAAACTCTAACATTCCAAACATTGCACTTTACATGCCAAGAGTTTAATATAGAATCGTAGAATAGTTAGGGTTGAAAAGGACCTTAAGATCATCAAGTTCCAACCCCCCTGCCATGGGCAGGGACATCTCACACTAAACCAGGTCACCCAAGGCCTCATCCAACCTGGCCTTGAACACTGCCAGGGATGGAGCATTCACAGCTTCCCTGGGCAACCCATTCCAGTGCCTCACCACCCTTACAATCTCAGTATCTCAATTACTCACTACAAATGCACAAATTATTCATTGAAAATGCACAAACAGTACAGCAAATCCTTAGTAAAGAACCTCGTTATTAGTGTTCTACCAAGAAAATTGCATCCAACAGGAATAATTATTGCTGTTCTTCTTAACTAGAGGATCTTCTTCACTCAATTCAGGCACACTGTAAATTGTGCTGCCTTCTAACCCAAGGAATCACACTGAAATAATGTTGTGGTTTAAGTCCAGCGGGTAACTCAGAACCACGCAGCCGCTCACTCACTCCCCACCCCGGCTTTTACCTCCCCCCTGTTACCAAAGGGATGGAGAGGTGAGTCAAAAGAATTTAACTCCCATGGGCTGAGATAAGAACAGTCCAGTAACTAAGGTATAAACCAAATCACTGCTGCTGCCACCAATAATAATAATAAGGGAAATAACAAGGGAAGAGAATACAACCGCTTACCACCCGCTGACCGATGCCCAGCCTGACCTGAGCAGTGATCTCACCCTTCTGGGTAACTGCCCCCAGCTTCTATCCTAGGCATGGTGTGCTGTGGTATGGAATACCCCTTTGGTTAGTTTGGGTCAGGTGTCCTGTCTCTGCTTCCTCCCAGCTTCCCCTCCTCCCTGGCAGAGCATGAGACTCAGAAAGTCCTTGGTCAAGGTAAACATGACTGAGCAGCAACTAAAACCATCGGTGTTATATCGCTGAAAGTCAAAACCACAGCACTGCACCAGCTACTAAGGAGAAAAATGACTGCTACTGCTGAACCCAGAACAAATGAATTTATACTTGGCAAAGCAAACCCCATTACAGTCACCACTGTACAACCATAAAACCTCCAACGACCTTCCAACAGTAGCTAAAGGGTTTCACTTTATTCCCCGATTTGCCTCAAGAACACACTATACTTCCTGTAGTTAACTACAGCATTACAGCTGTACAGTTCATAAAGCCGTATATTTGATATATTCTGTGATCTCTAATTGTAATCAGCCTCACATGAACAAAATCCGGTAAACAAAACCAGATTTACAGTGATGAATCCCCCAAAATTATTTATTATTACGCTTTTGGTAGATGGCAGGTGTTGTAAAACAATCAGAAGTACGAAGGCTGAAGCAGATGAATATAACATGCTTATATTATTATTTTGTTAAAGATGAGCTAACTAATTCTGTTCCATATATTACATAAACAAACCTACCAGTCCTTGTTCAAATAGTTCTTTCTCTTCTGGCGTCCACTTTAATGAGTAGTTAGCTGGTTTGGTAGGTGATCGGACTCTAGGAAAATACGAAGTAGAAGTGAAAAACATAAATGTTAATATTACTATTGATACCAATGTTAATAGTAACAATACATTCTCAAATCCCAGTAACTGAAGGCAACTTCTGACAGGAGAACTACTCCCAATCTTTGATAAAACTCAAGGAATTTGTTTAAACGTGAATATGACTGATAAAATCTTGAGAATTATCTCAGCTTCTCCATCACAAAGGAAGATTTAAGTATTCCATCTCCATCACAAAGATTTAAGGCAACACAATATTCATCAGTGACCAGTGGCACAGAAATACATGCAAGCAGCAAACAGAAAAGTTCAAGCAAGAAAGCCAACCAGAATTAACAAGATTTTTCTTCCCCTAAGGACCACTGTGTAACAAAAACCAAGCTGGTCTACCACAGGCCTATTATTATACACAACAGTATTTCTTTGTGTTGCAAGAGCTCCAAAACCTTTTTTGAAGTAGTGTCTGGTAATTCAAAAATCAGACCCCACACTTAAAAACGCAACTAAATCATGAAGATGTACGTACATGACTTTTCCAGTTTTCTTATGTGGGCTGCAAATATAAAACAAAGTGAAAATACAGATTAATAATTGTGATGCAGTTGCGTATCTCAGAAAATAAGCTGATTTTAGAAGGACTTTTCATGGCTTGTCATCCAACTGAGAATTTTCCCCTGAGAATGCTCACCTTTTCACAGATCTTTTCTCCACTTCCTTTTGATTGAGCCATATTTTTTCAGAAAGAGATTTATTAGATAAATAATATCTGAAATAGTTATTAAGTTTGCAAAGCACCCGAGATGTGTACACGTGAGGATTCTAATAACCACAGAAATTATACTGGTTCATAATTATTCAGCTCTAGAAGCAAATACTGCACTGCTACAATAGCAAAATAAAATTTCCCACACTAATATAATGAATAAGCAAGTGACATTCGGCTTCTGAATCTCCATGCTCACTTTACTTGCAGCCAAGTGGGTATCCCGCTTCTACAACAGCATTTCTGCAATCTACCTACAGGATGACAGTGCTTCAGTCACCATAACAAGATTGCTTTGGAAATCCAGTTCCTTTAGAAACAGGAAGTTTTTTATTGTTCCACAGGAAACCATGCAGCAAATCAGCAAAAGGATACTCCTCTTCCAGCAGCATTTTCTCAATGACAGCCCTGTTTTCTTCACTAATGCTGCTGTCCAGCGTCCATGGCTGCAAACAATACAAGCATGATTTAATATCTGAGTTCTGTCATGCTGTGACTTCAGGAGCAAGAAGCAATATATAATTGTTTCGAAAAGTCAGCAAAAAGCACTGCTTAAAAACAAGCATGGACATGAGAATGGAGAAAACAGAAGTTCTGATAACCTTGCTAAAGTAGCATCTATATAAAAAAAACTTACAAGACTGTTGTCAGTTCTCCAGGATGAATCAAGGTAGTGATCCTGCAGCAAGCTTGAGGCCGTGTTTCCATGATCTCTGGAAAAGATCCCAGTGTTCAGAACAACACAAACAGATTCAAACAAAATGAATGCTGTCAGAGTTAAAGCAACAGTGCAGCAAATGACAGACTTCAACAGAAGACAGAATTAGCTACTAAAGCTAAATTCACATACTGCAGGCTATTATATAATGTTACTTTCTCGTAACATTACATTAGATGTAACATAAACGCCCCTCGGTAAGTCCTATTTTTCAGTAACCTCAGCAGCAGCTCCTCAGCCTTTTCACTGCAGACCGTACAGGATACCAGTGAAACTCCAAAGAGCAAAAATTCTCATCCAGAATGAGTGACAGCAGGAAGGCCCATGTAAAATTTACACCAACAAAAGAAGTCAGAATGCCACAGACAAATGAACTGTATTTTTAATATCACAGGAGTTATCGAGTTCTATTATCTCTACTTAACATCCCTACATCTTTCCCCCAATAAGCTAAAAACCCCTCTTGTAAACACAAATCTGTTTTCATGCCAAAGAAAGCTCATACTTATACAAGGTTTAATAGAATCCTATCACGTTGGGTTGTTGCTGCTCTTACAGAATTCATCCTGATTATACTTGAACTTTTCTGTGAAAGAGTACTAAAAGGGGCTGACAACACATCTGGAAAGGGACTTTTTACAAGGGCATGTAGACAAGGACAAAGGGGAATAGCTTTAAACTGACAGAGGGTGGGCTGAGATGAGCTTTTAGGCAGAAACTCCTCCCTGTGAGGGTGCTGAGGCGCTGGCACAGGGTGCCCAGAGAAGCTGTGGCTGCCCCATCCCTGGCAGTGCTCAAGGCCAGGTTGGACACAGGGGCTTGGAGCAAGCTGCTCTAGTGGAAGGTGTCCCTGCCCATGGCAGGGGTTGGAACTGGAGGAGCTTTAAGGTCCCTTCCAGCCCAAACCAGTCTGGGATTCTGTGAAATGGGTCAGATCCATAGGCTCTCTCCTCAGTATTGTCTCCAGCAGTGGCAGGTACTCCTCTAGGCCTCTGGTACAACCCTCTCATACTCTGCCAGCAACTGCAATGCCAGGTTTGCAGTGTTGCAGCTGCTGCCCTTTCTCTTCAGCATTTGTTTACAGACCCCTCAAATGTGAATTTGTTGAATCAGTTTTCTGAACCCATCTGCAAGCTCGCCAATAGTTACACAACAGAGTCCCTTCTCTCCGTGTTTTAACCGAGTCTCTCCCAGCAGCCTCACCCAGCTCCCTGGTTCCGGGTACCGTTGGGTCCCATGGCAGCAGCTCCGCGCTCACCCCACGTTAACGCCTCCACAGCCCCCATTCTCGATGCCCTGCCCGATAATGCCCCACACTGCCGCTTCCCCCCGCCCCCAAGGGCCCTCAATGAGACTCCAAGGTCTCTCCCCAGCGGCGCCCGGCAGCGGGGAGCACCAGAAGCGGCCGAGGCCCCGAGCGAGCGCGGCCCAGCCCGGGCAGCCCCTCAGCCAGCGGCAGCCTTCCCCTCGCCGTCCCCTCACACAAACCCCGGCCGCCGCGGCCACACAAGCCCTGCGCGCCGTGGGCAGAAGGAGCACGGGACACGCTGACGGCAGCGGCAGAGCCACCAGCCCTCAGCGCGGCTCTCACTCACCCCGGCCCCGCGGACCCGGGCACGGCCGCCGGGTCCCCTTCGATATCCACCTCCAGCTCCTCAGCCGCCGCCATCACCGGCCCCGGCAGCGATCTCGCGAGATTTGGCGGGAGCACGGCTTCCGCGCGTGCGCGGGTTACCTCAGTGAGGCCGCGTCCTGAGGGGCCGCCGGGGCGGAGGCGGGGCCGTGGCGCTGCGGTAGGCGGGGCGCGCGGGGGCGGCTGAGGCGGGACGGGCCCGAGGGGCTGCGGCCGGCGGGAGAAGGGGTGAATGTGAGGTGGGGATGGGAGAGCGGGGGTCTGGCCTGTGCCAGCGGTGATTGCTCCCCTGCACTGGGCGCTGTGGTGAGGCCGCTCATTGAATCCTGTGTTCGGCTCTGGGCCCCTCACTACAAGAGAGACATTGAGGTGTTGGAGCGGGTACAGAAATGGGCAGCGACGCTGGTGAAGGGTCTGGAGCACAAGTGTGATGGAGAGCGGCTGAGGAGCCTGGAGGGGGTTTAGTCCGGAGAAAAGAAGGCTCGGGGGGGACCTTATCGCTCCCTACACCTATCTGACAGGAGCTTGTGGTGAGGTGGGGGTCAGTCTCCCAACGAACAAGGGAGAGGACAAGAGGAAACGGCCTCAAGCTGCGCCAGGGCAGGTTTAGACTGGAATTTAGGAACAATTCCTTCACCAAGAGAGTGCTCAGGCACTGGAACAGGCTGCGCAGGGCAGTGCTGAAGTCACCGTCCCTGAAGTGTTCACAAACCGTGTAGCCGAGGCCCTCAGGGACACGGGTTAGTGGTGGCCTTGGCAGTGCCTGGTTGACGGACGAACTTGGTGATCTTAAAGGTCTTTCCCAAGCCAGTTGATTTCTATGATACCATGAAGCGCAGTGTGGGAGGCGGCTGGCTCCTGCCCAGGCCGCATGCCCCGGTGTCCCCCACCCCCGTCTGCCCCTCTCGCTGTGGGGTGGGAGCGCTCTGTGAGGGCTGCAGGTGGATGAAAGCCCTCTGGCGATTTGCCTTCCTTCGGCTGTAGTGGAAAGCGCGCTGGGGGAGTGCTGGTTTGTGAGTGGCCCGGGGAGAGCCGGGCCGTGGAAGTGTGGAGTGATGGCTGAAGAGGGACCCTGCTGACTGGTGCCGCTGGGTACCTCCTGCTGCAGGTGCTGTGGTTGCTGAGCTCTGCCTGTGTGCTTCCAAGCGTGCGGTGATGTCTTTTAAGCAGCGGTGTTGTGTGGGTCAAGTTAAAGTGTTGTAATATGGCTCTAAAAATTACAGTTTTACTCTCGTACATTCTTAAATCAGTGTTTGTGTCGCAAGAAGTATTTGTCTCTTTGTGGTAATTTGGCTTCCAGTCATACACTGGTGAGAAGTGTGAAGAATAGAGAGGCTTGATTATCATTATATAGAGAATTACCACAGAGAACCTTCTGCCTGGAGAAAGTGTTTCTGTTTTAAGAGATGGCAGTACAAATGTTTTGAACCAATAAACTCCACTGCAACCTTTTTATTCTGAAAATGTCATCATTGTGCTGGAATTGATTTGAAAGTGAAGTTAATAAACAGCAAATACGATTGGTTTAATTATCTGTACATAAAAATGCAAAATCTAGATAAATGGTATCGTGAAAGGTAGAAGGAAAAATGATTGTTAGAGTCCCTAGAGCTGTCAGTGCCATGTTGAAGAGTATAATATAGAAGAGTCTAAAGAGGGTCCATTGCAATATTGAATGTCAATGTAGCACATACCAGTGTCCTAAGGACAGCGTCATTGTGTTAGCAAAGTTTCGGAACACACACTTCTCTGGTTGGTTTATACCAAGGCTCTTGGTAGGATTTATAGGGGCCTGCAGGAAATCTGGAGAGGGGCTTTTGACAAGAGCCTGTAGTGACAAGACAAAGGGAATGGCTTTAACCTGACAGAGGGAAGATTAAATTAGGTATTAGGAAGAATTTTTTCCCTGTGAGGGTGCTGAGACACTGGCACAGGGTGCCCAGGGAAGCTGTGGCTGCCCCATCCCTGGCAGTGTTCAAGGCCAGGTTGGACACAGGGGCTTGGAGCAAGCTGCTCTAGTGGGAGGTGTCCCTGCCTGTGGCAGGGGTTGGAACTGGATGAGCTTTAAGGTCCCTTCCAACCCAAACCAGTCTGTGACTCTATGATTTATTAGCGTGGGGAAAGTATCTAGTAAATCTGGAGTAGAGCAGCCCCACACTAGTACATTTTGCAAGAAATGCCTTCTGATCTCCTGTTGACGCAGAGAGCAGTGCTATAATCAGCCTAGACCAAGCTCATATCACATTACCCTCAGGAGAGCCAGTGCTACTCTTGTCTTTGCTATCCTGCTTCTCCCTGTGTTCAGGTACGACTGTGGAGTAAGTTGGATCAGATCACACATACAATCTAGAGCAGGGCTGGGATGGAAGGGAGGGCAGATCAATCTCTCTTGGCAACACTCTGCAGTTAGGACTGCCAAAGTTAAACAAAACTAGGTTCATCTACTCCAATGTCTCTATCTCAGTGTCCTTGAAGATACTGATATCCCCTTATTCATAATAGACATGGCTTTTTTAAAAAGTGATTTTACCAAACAGCACTTAACTAATACAAACTGTTCATGACAGATACATAAACAGTTATTTTCTATCTTGTTTTTGCGAGTCTTGACTTTTACTGGAAGAGGTCATACACATTCTGTTTAAGAGTGGTGCTTTTTAAATAGATTCCAAGTAGGAGATTTGTGAGAGAAGCAAAAGGCTAAGCAATACTTTGAAGTTAAACAGTGTCTATAAGATACGTTTTTCTCCATGGCCACCTTTGATTGCTAACTTAATTCTGCCTGCCCTAGCATAGTTACAATCATACTGGGCAACAGGACTATCCAAACTACATTACAAGAGAATTCTATATTTAACTTTAGACGTTTTAGCTTTACATCTTCATTTTGTTATTAACATTTTCTTCTTCAAAAGTGTTACAATTTGAGCCTGATTTTCTGTTATATTAAACTCTGCTACTTGCAGTGGGGTCTTTTGAAGACTGTTAGCAGCCAGTAAATTTGCTCTTTCTCCTTGTGACCAGTTCAGGAGGGCATTCACAGCATTCAAGTGACCAGCCTTGCATGCACAGTGCAGCGCCGTGTCCCTGCTGCTGTCTGAGGCGTTAATGGCTGCCCCGTGGCTCAGCAACACATTGATCAGGTCACTGTGCCCGTGCTCTGCTGCAATATGCAGTGCAGTCTTTCTCCAAATGTTTCTATCATCAATATTTTTATTTTTCCCTGATGCCAGAAGAATTTTTACAATCTCTATGTTTCCCTGGTTGGCTGCATAGTGCATTGGAGTGCATCCATCCATGTCCTTAACTCCAAATCTTGCTTTTCCTGCTAACAGAACTTCCACAATGCCGAGATGCCCTCTCACAGCTGCGGTGTGAAGGGGAGTCTTCTTCTCTTTATCTTGTGCATTGGGGTCAGCTTTAGCATTCAGAAGCATCTCTACCATTGTTCTGTCTCCCCTTTCAGCAGCAAAATGTAAAGGGGATTTTAACTGCTTATCCTTAACATTAACATGGGCTTTGTGGTGCAAGAGCTGTTGGGCAGCATCAGTGCTACCTCTTTGACTTGCAATATGCAGGGGAGTAACAAACTCTTTAGTGCCAGCATTAATTTGGGCCCCAGCATTAACTAGAAGTCCAACTAATGCACCTTTATTATGCAGGGCAGCAACATGGAGTGGGGTTTCATGGGCTTGGTTCCTCAGGTTAGTTTCCATCCCCTTGTGCAGAAGCAGATGTGCAGTGGAAGCAGCCCCAGCTTGAACTGCCAAGTGCAAAGCTGTGTCTGAAGCAGGAGTCCTCATTCCAAAGTTTGCTCCCTTTGTGATTAGAACTTCTGCAGCTTCAGCTTTGCCCATTTCACATGCCAAAAGTAAAGGAGTGTACCTCATGTCATTGAGAGCGTCTATATCTGTACCTCTGTCGATTAAAGCAGCTATAATACCAGGCAGATTTTTCTGCACAGCTCTAAAAAGAGCTGATTCCATTACTTCAGATGGAAAATCTTTGGAATATTCTAGTAGTATTTTGAAGATGGATGGGTGGTTGCTGTTGAAGGCTCTTTCAGCCATGTTGGAATCAACACTGGCTCCTGCTTCTAGCAGTACTTTTGCAGTGTTTTCAGACCTGTGAGACACAGCATGAGTAAGAGGAGTCTGTCCCTTTTCGTCTTTTCCATCAACGGAGGCACCAGCCTTCAAAAGCATTTTTGCCAGACTGCTTTCGTCTTTAAGAGCTGCCATGTGCAAAAAGTTGTGCTGGTTCCTGTAGCTTCTTGCCTCTTCTTCCACGAGTATCTTCACTATGTGACTGTGGTTATTCTGTGCAGCCAAATGGAGTGGTGTCTTGCCTTTCATATCCAAACTGTACAGATAAGCACCAGATTGGAGCAACGCTTTCACTGCATCAGCATGGCCTTTCTCAGCAGCCCTGTGCAGTGGTGTTCTTCCATTACTGTCTTTCACATCTACCTTTGCACCTTTGCTGATCAAATATTCCATTACAGTTGCATGTCCATTAGCAGCTGCAACATGCAAAAGTGTTTCACTTGAGGAGTTTAGCGCATTAATATCATTGTCTTTCAATGTCTTTTCTAACTCGGGAAGATTGCCCTTAGTGACTGCATCAAAGATGCCAACATCAGTGTGATCTTTTCTGGGTTTTGCTGTCCTTGACAGTTGAAGTTGTTTTCCTTTCTTCCTAATAGTCCATTCTTTCCTTTTTCTTCTAGGACTGTCCTTTTTTCCCTGGTGCCATTCATTGCTACTTTCAAACCAAACCTTGTCTTTTTCAAGTAAATATCCCACTAATTGTCTTCTAGCATCTCCAATGCTTTCATTTACTTCACTGACATATTTTCTTATCTTGCTGTAAAGTTTTGGCTCCACTTGCTTTAAACATGGATAAAAAAAGAGCCTACAGGCTCGTTCACCATGAGACATCAGTAGGTCTAAAACTCGAGAGTTCTTTTCTGTTCGTGTCCTGTAGAAACTCATGACCATCTTTTTCTCTGGGGTAAAAACACCATTGTCTATCAGCCAGTTCAGAAGATGGTCTGGGTGGGTTATGCCTTCTACGAGCTCTTCTTTTTTAGTCTTTAGG